TTTTATCTTCTTTTCCCTGCTGATACATCAAAGAAGAAATGTTTCGTCGTTGTTGCTGCCATAACAGCATAATGAGAAATTAAATGCAGCTGATTATTTCCCCTAACTCCCATCTCCTTTTGGGAGACAGTACCTCCCAGGGCACAGTTTCTCCCACTCTGTGTATGTGACCTATATTTTTCGTACTCGAAACATGGCTGAATGCAATAATTTGAATGCAAGCAACTTATCAAGCCATCCAGATCGTTCAGCAGAGCTGGCCTGCCAGTATTATTTTATCAAGCCATATATTTTTTTCTTCTTGACAGCCACTAAAGGCATGGGATAGTGCTGAGCTAAGGGCAGGAGATCAGGAGTGCTACTGAGAAACTTCCCCACTCGTAAGAGATACTAGCTTATAAATGTATCTTGTCTGGTTAGTCGGTTTTCAATTTATTAATAATTTTAACTAGAAGAAAGTCTTACTGAAGGCCATATAAATCAACCATCTTTATGAATCAGACTTCCAAATTTAGAAGAAGAACAGTATCAAGTTTACTTGTCAAGAACAGTTCTATATATAACCATGATGAGTAGCATTAGATAGATCACTGCCCTTTACATTTTGTGCATGGAGCTACTTATCGGTTAGTCATTGTTTTTTGTCTGAAACGGGCAGGTTAGAGTTTATAAATACCCAGTTATCCTGTTTGCTCCCTTTCCTCACTGGTGAATTAAAAATTGTCTTTTAAAAAAGAGAACAATAGAAAATTTTCTTCCTAAAATTGACCTTGAAAAATCAGTATCATTGTTTTGGAGACTACGAACTAAAAATTATTGAGAGCTAGTGATTTTAAATCTACTTGTTTCACAAATTCCATTTTCTCTGGAATCTGCTGTTCTATTAAAGTCTCGACTGAACACAGAAAAAAATAACATCAGAGCATAGTCTACTTAAGGAAATCATCCCTTCTCACATCACTTTGAGAAAAGCAAAGCCTTGGTTTCTGTGCTTGACAAGAGAAGAACTGCCAGTCAGGATTAGGCTACTAGTTAATTCACTCCAAGTATTTCTGGCAATGCCCAGTGGCTTTTTAAAAAATAAAACTGATCAACAAATTGCAGAGAAAAATTTTGACCGTGAAGTAAAGTGTCCTGTTCACTCATGTCCTTGTGGCAAATAAAAAGAAACCGATGTCACTGGTTCAAGAATGACTGTGGGAAGAGACTGGTCATGCCTATCCTGAATCTTCTCAAGGAGGGTGTGTTGCCCTCTCCATCTCCATCCCCGACCCCCCTGGGACGCTCCGTGGGGAGGCAGAAGGCAGCGCACGCCCAGCCTCCCTGAGCACATCCTGCGGCATGCGTACCCACCGGGCCAGGTCCTGGGGGCTTCAGAAAGCACCACCCACCCTGGCTGGGGTTGCACTGCCTGGGGCTGCTCATAGAAGGGTGCATCTGACATGAAGGAAGCATCCACTGTAACCCCATCGGAAACATGTGACGTGTCACCACCTTCTTCCAACACCCATACTTATCCCACACCATTGTGACATCTGCCTGGGCATTCTGTATGTTTCCCTGTCGGTATCCTGTGCTGATATACTCTCTGCGAAATACTTTAAAAATCTTGGGACTCCCTGAGCACTAGCACTAGCGGCAACCCTTTCTTCTTTAACCTGAACACCCATATCTCCTCTTCTCCCAGGAGACTCATTTCAATAGAAGACAGTGACTACTGAAGGTCTTCACACAGCCTGGTGTTTCACCTTGCAGCTCTACTGAGAAGGGCAATATATCCCTTCAAACCTGGGAAATAAGGATACTTGTGACAATTTAAATTAACTTTGATCTCCCTTTTCCTCTGAGATTCAAGTCAGTTTTAGACAAGGGCTCCAGGGGCTCCACATAGCAAGTGCTGAGGCCAGTTTATTTCCCAGGTGAGATCTGTTATCACAGGCATGTCCAAGCAAGGCCAAGAAGCAGGGCTGCTCTGCCACTGAAAAGCTGCAGGTGGCTAAAATTTATGGAATTTAGAAACAGTGTAATATATACAGCTGGATCAGTAAGAAAATCCTTGCTATCCAACTCCTGACCTCTGGGGGAAGGCAGGTGGATCTGGAGCAGCTTAGGAGTGGAGAGCAGACCAGCAGGTCCACCGCCATGTCAGAGAGGCAAAGCCGGAGAGATGGAGATATGTGGTCACTGCACGGCAACCAAAACTGCAACAAAAGCAAGGGGATTTCCAAAGCCAAAGCAACAAAGAGATACATGATCGTAACTCCACAAGAGAGGGACAAATCCTGAGGTCCTGCCTCAGGCGAGCTTCCAGCGGGAGTCTGCCTATATCTAGATGGAGTAAAAACCGCCTACAGATTTGGCCCAGCGTAAGATACCAATAAAGATGCTCGAACTGATTTGCCTGGGGAAGGTAAGGCTTGCTGATGCCTCCACGGTCCCTCCGCTCCAGTCACAACTGGACAACGTTTGTGGCTTGATGGCATGCGTTCAGCGAGGCAGCCCCCGCGCTCCCGGGAGTCTGCCTATATCTAGATGGAGTAAAAACCGCCTACAGATTTGGCCCAGCGTAAGATACCAATAAAGATGCTCGAACTGATTTGCCTGGGGAAGGTAAGGCTTGCTGATGCCTCCACGGTCCCTCCGCTCCAGTCACAACTGGACAACGTTTGTGGCTTGATGGCATGCGTTCAGCGAGGCAGCCCCCGCGCTCCCTCCCCCGCGGCTGCAGGATGCGCGGAGCCAGTCTCTGCGAGGAGCCCTGGCATCCGCCCGTTTCACGCATCACGCTGTCACCGTCTGTGTTTTCATCTTCGGCCACGCTGCCGCCCCCACCCAGGCTCCTGGGAGGTTCAGAAAGGCAGATGTGTTCGGTCTCTGTGGGGTTGGGTTGCAGGGGCTTTGGAAGTTACAGTACCTTAGGCCAGTGTTGTTCGATATTGCATTGAGTGGTGACACACTGTGGGCAAGGTGGGATCTATTATTGCATTATGGAGGCTGCTGCTTCCCTGAACAGGCTATGTTTTGTGTGTGAAGCGGGCCCACACCTGCTGGAGCTGGGACCTGGAAATGCGGAGGACGGAAGGCATGAGTCTGTGGTTTCCTGCCGTGAGGGGCATGTGCCTGCGGTGGGGCATGCGCACGGGGCTGCTCTCCGCCGAACGGCTGCGCTGTATGAAAGTGCCACCAACGTGAGGGTAGTGTTCTGTCTCCAGGGTTGAGGAGGAGAAAACGGAGGACGCCAGTCTTCTCAGGGGGCTGTACCTCGGGAGGGAGTGCTGAGAAGGCCTGTCCTCCTCCAACTGAAAAAGACGAAGAAGAGTGGAGGAAAAGGTGTCAGGCAAAGACTTGACTCGCCCCTGGTTTGTGATGCGCATGCTGCAGACATCTTCGCCGGCAGATGAAAAATGCTTTTGCTCTACGCGGGGCTTACTGACTGCTCTGTGTCTATAGATCCCTGGGGATCCCATGGGCACCACGGGAGCCTGCCATTACAGGGGGCCTGCCGCACTCTCCCCAGCCACACCAGCAGTGCCAGGCTCTGCTACGTCAGTCCCCTCCTCTGGCTCTTCGGGCCACGTGCCTCACCTCTCTGTTCCTCTGGCATCACCCATCTTGGCACGGCATTATGCTAGTCATACATTTTGCATATAGAATCATAGAATCACAGAATCATTAAGGTTGGAAAAGACCTCAAGGATCATCAAGTCCAACCGTCAACCCAACACCACCCAACCCACTAACCCATGTCCCCAAGCACCACATCTCCACGTTTCTTGACCCCCTCCAGGGATGGTGACTCCACCACTGCCCTGGGTAGCCTGTTCCAATGCCTCATCACTCTTGCAGTGAAGACATTTTTTCTAATATCCAGCCTAAACCTCCCCTGGCACAACGTGAGGCCGTTTCCAAGTTATTCCCATCACTTGTTCCTTTGGAGAAGAGCCCAGCACCCCCCTCACTGCACCCTCCTTTCAGGCAGTTGTAGAGAGTGATGAGGTCTCCTCTCAGCCTCCTCTTCTCCAGACTGAACCCCCCCAGCTCTCTCAGCTGCTCCTCGTCAGACCTGTGCTCCAGACCCTTCCCCAGCTTCGTTTCCCTTCTCTGGACCTGCTCCAGCCCCTCAATGTCCTTCTTGTGGTGAGGGGCCCCTATAGGGAACAGTCAAACTCTGAACACACTTGGAACCCACGTGTACGGGAAAAGGTGAAACACCTGGTGCTAAAATGATCATATGTATTTAAAAGCAAGGGATTCTCAGAAGGTCTTTCAATTTAATCTTATTAAAACTCGCTCCAAGGATTTGCAAAGGCAACTTTGGGGACTGTTAGTGGACTTTCATTTTTCTCACGCTTACACTGCTGGCCTCCAGGTACACTTTAATATCAAGTACCTGCAGGGGGAGTGTTAATGCTTCCAGTTTTGGCAAGTGGAGGACAGGCAGCAGCTAGAAAGGCAGGCAGAGGGTAATTCTCCTTTCAGTGAGAAATTCAAAACACAGAGCCACAGGAGGACACGAGGAGAAGATGCACTCTTAGGTCCCTTTTCTGCTTCTGTGATCCTGGGATGGCCAGGAGAGGGAGCAAAGTATACTCACAGAGGACAGCTTGTGCCAGGATGAGATCGCGGTCCCTACCTTCCCTTTATGCACAGAATGGAATAGAAAGGCACCATGGGAGTGATTTCAGATTCTTCACCCGAAAATGCTAAAGCCCTTCCTCCCCCTGCTACCTCTGCTATGAAACTAGCACTTTCCCAGAGGTCAGCAACCTCAGTTTCTAAAACCAGACCACTTTTCCTGGAATTCCATTTTTCCTTTCAAATCCATTCCCTTCCTTGTGCTGCATTGCTTTTCAGGAACTCTCTGCAGGTTTCAAAATGTAATTGTGAGATGAGAAAAGGCAATATTGTATTCTTTTTAAAGCCAATACTGCTCTCCTTACCTTACTACAGATGTTGCCCTTGCAAATGATATGAGAAAAAGAGCTGAACTTCATCCAGTCTCATCTCTTTCCTTTCCCCTTCAATATCTTTGTAGTGCTTTGAGGCAGGTATCTTCGTAAGCATCTGAGAACTACTCAGCTTGTGGTGAGCATTAAATGTGAAAAGCAATTATTCGCAGTCCTAAATGTGCTGCACATCACTGCACAGACCAGATTGTCAGATAATAATAATGTAATGCTGTCATTACATTGGAGTATTTGAGAGAGACAAAGAAATTCTAGACAGCAGCTGTAATTTCTCATAAAGACAACCATCTCTTCTTTGTGTAGATGGCGTAGAAATTCCCACCTGGGTGTACTGTCCGTAGGCTGCACAACTAAGTATACTGGAATTCTTCTTATTACTTTTTGCTCCATGTCAGGGGTCAGCATATTGTATGATTTTCAAGTATGTATCATCCCAACATGGTAAAGACTTCTCAGATCAAAAAGGATCACTCCAGCTACCCAGACGGACCTTTCTTTACAGCACAGGCACTCCAGTCCTGCCCACGGTATTACCAACACGGCTCTGCGCGCCGAGCATCCTTGCGTGATCTCTCAGCAAAGATGCCAATGGGAAGGTATGGCTGGGGAGGCCTCGAAAGCTCTGCAGCTGCTGCCCTCTCAGGGTTAAGGTATGGTCAACTCTAAATAAGTCCATTTGTGGCACTCTCCTGGCTGTGGGAGAAAAGAGGCCTCATAGCACCAAGGGAGATTTTTTAAGAGTGATTCTAAGCACACAGCTAAGCTGGTGAGGAAATACACCAGTGCTTCTTCACATTGGGACCTTTTCTGAAAGATGAGCTCTTGGCTCTGGGAGATGGGACTGTAAGACACAGCATAAGCAAAACGCTCTCTGAACTTTGCAGAATATATCTGAGAATAGGTAAGGAAGAGTTAATATGATCTCCCGCTATTGCTTCACTTTTCTTGTGTTTTTTATATGTGACATCATTTAGACAGGCACATTTTAGGCAGGCAAGTCTCAAAACATTTTGTTCAATGCCAATTGCACTAGCAGAAAGGGAGAGTGAGAGTCAAGAAACATCTACGAGCACAGACCTACAGTCAGAAGTAATTGCCAAAACTCATAAATGTATGAACATTTGTATCTCTTTACAATGCAGAAGGCAGCGGTAAGTTGCCATCTCTGTCAAGTCTCAGTGAATTTACTTAGCATATTTAAGAACTTGACAGATTTTTAAATTATATTGCTAGGTGTGGATAGGAATTATTTCCAACAGTAACAGCAATCCTATGTCAGGATTAATATGTAAACAGAAGTAGAGGTTTAATCTTTTTTTCCCCCCCTCAGTTTTAGCTATTTCTATGGTTTTATCTGCATGTCAGTGCTTAAAAATAGGCAGAGATTTCTGAAGTACATTTCTGAAGTGCAAACATTAAAGTAAACCCTAAGAGCTCTGTCCAACAGCTTGCTGGGTGCCCAGCCTCACACTGAGCGCTGCACAGACAGAAGGGCTTGGACAGGTTGTAGTTTCATGAGGGACCTCTTCTCCCTCTATACCGGGGCTTCCCGGGAGGTCTGTGCTTCCACTGCAGCTGTCTTCTTGTCAGCTGAAACTGTGAGATATCTAATATTTGAGAATATTTGGGTCAGAAATTCCCCCAGGCTATTCAGAGCTTCCTCCGTACTTGCCTTTCTCCACAGCAACATCTCTTCATGCTGTGCTCCCTCTTACACCCACAGTTTCATGGGGACACCGCTGTCCCTCGCACTGGCATGATCATCTCTTTCTTCCAACAGGTTCTTACATTGCAATAAACATCTGAGCTCTGAATGAGGATAACTCGGGGAGCGACAGGCTGGTCAGCCTGGAAAGGGCACAAATCCTCCCGAAAGCCATTTCCAAACAACGGAACAAGAAGGTGACCGAGAGCAGTCAGCACGGAAATACGAAGGAAAAATCACACCTGATGAACCTGACAGCTTTCCGTGATGAGATGACTGGGTGGGAGGTTGTTTACCTTGCCTTCAGAAAGGCTTCTGACACTGTCTCCCATAACATCCTCATAAACAAAATGATGGAGAAGCAGACCATGAGTTAGACTGGAAACAGGCTGTGCTGCTGGGCTCAAAGCATTGTGCTTGGGGAAACAAAGCCCAGCTGGAGACCAGTCAGTAGTGGCATAGCCAGCGGCTGACACTGGGGCCACCACTGTTTGACAGCTTCAATTATGACCTGGGTGATGGGACAGAGCGTACCCTCGGCAGGTTGACTGAAGATACAAAACTGGGAGGAGCAGCTGACACACCAGAGGGTTGTGCTGATATTCAGAGGTGCCTGGGTAGGCTGGTGAAATGGGCAAAAAGGAATTTATCAAAAACTTCAACAAAGGGAAGTGCAAAGTCCGGCACCTGGGGAGGAACAGTACGTGCTGGGGGACAACCGTTGGGAAAGCAGTTTGACAGAGAAGTACTTGGGGGTCCTGGTGGACACTAAGCTGAACACGAGCAAGCAAGGTGCCTTTGTGGGAAAAAGGGACAACGGCCTCCTGGGCTGCATGAGAAGGAGTGCTGCCAGCACGCTGAGGGAGGTGGTCGCTCCCCTCAGCACTGGTGGGACCACGCCTGGAGTGCCATGTTCCAGTTCTGGGCTGCGCAGTAGAACAGAAATGGACATACTGGAGATAGTCCAGCGAAGGGTCACATGGATGATGAAGCGACTGGAGCACCTCTCATTTGAGGAAAGGATGAGAGAGCTGGGACTGTTTAGTCTGGAAAAGAGAAGGCTCAGGGGGTTTCTTATCAACATTTATAAACACTTGATGGGAAAAAGAAGATGGATCCAGACTCTTCTTAGTGGTGCCCAGCGAAAGGACAAGAAGAAATAGGCAGAAATGGAAATACAGGAAATTCCATTTAAATATAAGGTTTTTTTAACCGTAAGGGGGATTGAACACTAGAACAGGTTGCCCAGGGAGGTTGTAGAGTCTCCATGCTCAGAGATATTCTGATTGGACACTGTCCTGAGCAACCTGCTCTAGCTGATCCATCTTGGAGCAGAGGGTGGGAGTAGAAGATCTCCAGAGGTCCCTTCCAACCTCAACCATGCTGTGATCCTATGATAATCCAGAGGTCACTGTCTTTTTGCCAGTAATTAGAAATGGCTTTTATATTGTAGCCAGGGAATGGAGGAACAGAAGGAAGCATTAAAGCAGGGATTAGCTGTCTGCTCTCAGTTAGTACTCTCCTGACACCAACTGATGGTCACTAGTTTTTGGGAGACCAGAATGAGCCACCAAATCGGTACAACAAGGCCTATGGCCTTAGTCACGGCAGTTCTGCATTTAATGACATTTTTCCTCTCTTAAAGGCTCAGTTCACGTTCAAAGATAAGGAAGATTTACTCACGCACACACACACTGTCTAATCATAGCTTCAGTCAAACCCAGAGGAAGCCCAAGTCTGAGCTACAGGAAACATCTGTCATTGCTAGTGAAACCTTCAGTATTTTCATTATTTAAGTCCTTGGTCAACTTCTTATTAGTGTCTCAACCAACTGACCCTCCATCTCTGCTGTACCAAAGGAAAACAGGTTTCTGCTTTCCTTTAGACACCAAGGAATTTTTCCTTTGAGAGTTATCAGTTTGTTTAGCAAATGGACAAACATGAACGTCACTGCAAAGCTGTGCTTATAGAGGCAACTGAAGGATCCAGACACCAAAGGAAGCACAACTAGCTTCCTGGCCAGACAAAGAAGTCCAGTGTTGGTCTCTATGTACAAAGGTAGACCCAGGAGTAACTAGAGGGTATTTCAGAACATAGGAGCAAAAAAATGCAGAGTCTGATGGAAAACGAAGGCTGTCTAATATATTAGCAGTGATCTCTTACAATCCCATTAATTTACCTTTTTTGCCTGCTTTTTAAGCATCACTGTGCAGTGATAAGCAAATTTCATACTGCATCATACCCAGCTCAGCCAGTCACTTCACACAGCAGTGTTATGTGCTATGGCACCTCCAGCCTTCCTTGGTCATGCTAAACGTGTCAGTGAAGTGTCCCTGCTGGTCCTTACAGCTGGTTCTTACCAGCTGGCTCTTGCCAAGTTCATTGCATCTTGCAGATCTTTGCACATCCTGCACCAACCAGCCTAATAAGTTTACAGACAGAGAAAATCTGGACACAGACCCTTCCTGCTCTGCCGATCTTGCCTGTGCAATCTCTAGATATCTGCGGCATTCAACATATTGGCTTTATACAGCAAACACCTCCACCCTGGAAGCTTGCAGACGGATGCAGTCTCCATGAGAAGCATGTACTGCCACTATTCCATGCTCAGCAGAACTGTCCCACTAATGCCTGCTGTCAGTATTTCTGTCCTTCCTGTAAATGCTGCAGCCTCATACACCATGGCAAGGAACACCTTGCCTGGCAGGCAAGGATTTGGTTTGATTCTTTTTATATAGTTTCCTGTATCATTCATGCTTTGCTGCCAAACCTAACAGTCCTTTTTTTCCTTGCACTTCTCTGGGACTCAGAAAGGAGAAGAATCTCGGTGAGGCCTGAACGGAAGGATGTCCTTTTAACATTGAATTATAGAATCATTAAGGTTGGAAAAGACCTCAAGGATCATCAAGTCCAACCGTCAACCCAACACCACCCAACCCACTAACCCATGTCCCCAAGCACCACATCTCCACATTTCTTGACCCCCTCCAGGGATGGTGACTCCACCACTTCCCTGGGCAGCCTGTTCCAATGCCTCATCACTCTTTCAGTGAAGACATTTTTTCTAATATCCAGCCTAAACCTCCCCTGGTGCAACTTGAGGCCGTTTCCTCTTGTCCCATCACTTGTTCCTTTAGAGCAGAGCCCAGCACCCCCCTCACTGCACCCTCCTTTCAGGCAGTTGTAGAGAGTGATGAGGTCTCCTCTCAGCCTCCTCTTCTCCAGACTGAACCCCCCCAGCTCCCTCAGCCGCTCCTCGTCAGACCTGTGCTCCAGACCCTTCCCCAGCTTCGTTGCCCTTCTCTGGACCTGCTCCAGCCCCTCAATGTCCTTCTTGTGGTGAGGGGCCCAAAACTGACCCCAGGATTCAAGGTGCAGCCTCACCAGTGCCGAGTACAACATGCTCCAGTCCAGTGAACACTCCCTTAGAGAATAAGCTCAAGAGAGAACTGGAGATGGAGCTACCATCTCCCAGAAGGGAACAAGGAGACTGCCCAAACGCCTGCCATAGGAAGGTATCACTGTCTACATGACCGGAGACTCGCCTGCTCTTTGCTGCACTTACAGATTCCACATGCATGAGAGATCTTTAGTAACATACAAATACAAAAAAGTCCTCAGGAGAACAATTTTATTGTCTCTTGCAGTGAACACTCTGGGACAGCTTCCTTCTGAATGTCTGAGAAATGAAGATTAGATATGACGGAGGAACTCTGAGCCTAACAGCATATCATGTTTTTCCAGGTAATCTAATAAGTTACCTCCCACTAAAAACTGAACTTCTTTATATCTTCAGAGTACCACAGAAAAAAGCAAAACCGAAAGAAAAAAGCCTTCTACAACTATCTGGAAAAAAAAACCACAGTAGATAAGGAACATTTCTGTAAGTAAACGCCCAGTAACAACAATGCCAGTGACTGAAGTAAGGTTGACAGGATGTGCGCGCTCGTTACTCTCAGCTTTTTGTTAGGTTGTAGAAGAAAGTCTAATTTCAGGGAGTTATTTTATGATTTGCATTGCTGCAGACCTGCCCAGTGCTGATGTGTGATTAGATTAGAGGGCACTCGCTTGCCATACACTGCTGTTGCTGCTGAGAAACTATGTGGAGAAGATTTGGTAGCGACACCTCCGTACAACAAAGAGGTTATTAACAAAACACAGCGGGAGAGTGATAAGAGAACTGATTAAAGATCCCCATGGTCACAACTGTGCTCTCCTCTTGTCCCTGTGCCAAAATAGCTGGAAGATCTTGACAACAGTGTGTCCTTAGTAGGGGACAACATTACTAGCTACAGGGAGCACTTCTAAGGTGTTCACAACGTTTGCAAGCACTGTCAGAAAGGGTTTCATAAGAGCATCCATGCTTGGAACCACAGACTTCTCCAGCACAGCTGAGGTTTCCTAAGATGATGCTATGCTAGGCAACAAGATACAGACCCAGGGATCTTACCTGTCTCTGAGGACCAGTAGGTTCAGATTCTCGTCTCCTTTGTCGGATAGCTGGTGCTGAATGTAAGGGGGAGTGAGCTGGACTTGCGGTCTGCTGTTCATGTTTACTGTCAGATACTGTTTGAGAAGGTCCTTCATGCCTGTGGGAGCTGTCCTCCTCAGTCACAGGCTGCATACCCCGACTTCGCCCATCGTGCGTCTTCGGCCTGACTGCAGCATCTGCCCCCAAGCGTCTTCTCTCCTCACCCTCTTCAATAGGTCTTAGTTCCTCAGGCTCCTCATCTGTGGTTCCAGAGGTGCTTGGCTCAGCACCTGGGTGAAAGTCCTTCAGCTCTGTCTCCTTGTCAATGATAACCCACTCCTTGCTATCAAAGTCCTCCTCCTCCGCGAGCGGCACTGAGCGGAAAGCGTTGCTGAGAGCTTCGTGTTCCACCGAAGCAGACACGTCCATCCTGCCACTTGCCTGCCGGTCAGCCTGGCCGGTGTCAATGGAGAGCATCTGGGCTGGCTGGGAGGAGCACATGAGCCGTGATGGAGAGCCAGGTAAATCCATTCGAGATCTAAAGACGGAACATGAAGCCATTAAAAATACATCAGGTTTGTAATTAAAGTTAGGGATCATAAGAGTTGAGAGAGAACCTGTACAGTCTTTCTGACTCATTTCTTGGTAGGCTTCAGAATGACAGGCTTAAGCAAAAATATTTATTTGGAACCTACAATGGCATAAAGGTGTTCCCCCTGGAGAGCTTCAGTGTGACAGCCAATGCAGCATCTCTCTTGTAGATGCCAGGTTGTTAACCAGTTTCCCCCAACAACATAAATCTGCTCTTTCCCCTTTGGTTAGTTCTACTGGTTTGTGGGGAAAAAAAAAAAAAAAAAGCAAAAATAAAACCAAAACACCCCTAAATCCTAAATCTACTGTCTGACTTAAGAGTGTCTCTGCTGGGCTCCTAGAACATCTTCAGCTGCACTGTGCTATCTCTGTGGTGGCCACTGAGGCCACTAAGGTGGCCACATGAGTTTTTCAAAGACAGCAAGAATCTTTGACCCCATCGTGCACAGATGACCCCAAAACGCTTTGGAGGAGCAGGAAGGAAATCTAGCAAGCACCCTTTTACAAAGGGTTGTATAATGTTCAGTGGCTCACCATCTAAATAGCAGCAGCTTCTACAGCCATGCAGAAATACCTTTCCAAGAGGCTCTGGGAGCTCCCTGTGCCCCGACAGCCCTGGCAGCATCTCAGCTGGAAAAGCCAGTGGCACTTCTGTCTTTCTGCTCCCCAGCGTTATGATCCGTGCCTCTCGTTTGGCCATGCTGCTTGCTTTGCTTCTCTGTCTATCCCAGAGGCTATCAGCTTGCTGCACAAAGCCAGAGGGTCTGCTGCCCAGGAAAAGCCAGCGGCGGTGTGTTTTACAAAGGGATTTCAACAAGGACCATGCAGGAGCTTTGCAGACTCTTCAGGGAAAAGCCTTCCTACTTGTGAGAAGGCGTGAGGGGAAGCAGTGAAGTGGCTGCCCATTGGGTGAGGGTTGCTAAGCAAAACTGAGCATCTTCCACACAGTAGAAGGTCAGAACTGAGATGGAAAGAATTATAAGCAAAAATGAAAAATTTTTGATGAAGAAAGGGGAATTAGCAAAGGAGGTGAACCAGAGGCTGACGTAGAGAAAGTTGTGAACAAAAACAAAGATCACGGCAAAAGCCATCTGATGGATCTGAAAGAAGCAAGGATCTATTTGTTAAAGTCTTAATATATTATTATAGTGAATAGGGAGCACTAAGTATGCAAAGTAAGGATGAAAAATGGCCGATACTGTGTGTGTTCAGAAGTGGATTTTAAAAAGCTGTTGCTAAAAAAAAAATAAAAAGAAACTCTGGATTTAGCCAATGTCTTTATCCATTCCCCAGCAGAGAAGAGACTCTTAGGAGTGTGGGGTGGAAGAATTGACTCCAGAAAGACAGAAGAATTTCCCAGTGCTGGGAGTGAGCTCTGTACTGTGAAAAGACAAAAGCAGAATAAAGAGAAGGCTGTGTGTCAGAGTGGGATTGTATTTGCACCATACTTGGTGCAGGCTACTTGGAAGATCTTGAAAAAAGAATCTTGAAAGATTCTTGAAAAGAAAAAAGATCTGAGATGAGGGAAGGAGGCAGGAGAAAGAGATGCATTTTGGATAAAGCACATTTTCTATATTAAGTTAGCATGATGCTGAGCAGACAAGGAAGAATGGGAGAAATAAAGGATGGAGTTAAAAGCATTCACTGAATATACAGGACTAGTGCTGCTGACTGTTATAAATGGCTTTTTTCTCCTCCTACTTTAAAAAGCCTTTCTTCTGAGCAAGAAAAAGAAGAGGTAGCAAGACCCAATATTTGTTACTCAAACTCTAAATTATTAATAGCAACAAAACCAATCTTTCCTGAATTACAGAGAAGCATTACGGCTTCACCCAGCCACCCACAATGAGACAGGACCTAACGAACTGGGGGTAATGCTAGGGGCTCATCCTCTCTCTAGTTCTTTTTCATCCTCCTTCATTTCCAGCTACCATCTCCTTGTGACTGTTCCTCTTGGCTGACGTCTGTCAGATTGTCTCTGGGAAGAAGGCCTGTCCCATCCCTGCCTCTTTCAGAGGGACCATGCCACCAGCGCGTCCTGCAGCCACAGTCCGTGCCCTGACATTTAACGGGAAGAGGAAGACGGGGTAACAAAGGGTGTGAAGGGGGTTACCAGCACCAAGGGCTTATGTCTTGTAACACATGTTCTCCAGCACATAATACTTTAAAAAGCTTCTTTTTTTTTATTTCTATATTATTCTTGGGTTTTTTTGTTTATTTCATTGGTGTGGATCTGAGAGAAGGCATTGCTATCACCCTCAAAATCAGGGTACAAATGTACTGTTCAAGTGCAAACCGGTGCAATGCTATATGCTGAAAAATGAACACTGTTATTACTATTCATGAAAAATAATGAAATCATGAAACCCACAAGATCAGGATCTGCCAGCTAGCTCCCAGAATACATGCATCCCTATATGGATCCTAAGAAGATTCATTCTTCCCTCCCACCTCAGGCCAGCCAAAAGGTTTGTGACTCTTTACGTTATCTCTGATCTGATGCTTTGCCTTCCCTGACAAATGTCCCTCCTTCCATAGAATCCTAGAATGGCCTGGGTTGAAAAGGACCTTAAAGATCATCTAGTTTCAACCCCCCTTGCCAACCCTTAGAGCCAGCCTGGCCTTGAACCCCTCCAGGGATGGGGCATCCCTCTGGGCAACCTGGGCCACTGCCTCACCACTGGAACATCCCATCCAGGAAGAGGATGAGAATCATTCCCTCGAACTCTCCTTATGAACAGACATGAGTGTCTCGCCAGAGACACCATAAAGCCCATGCACACCTCCACCCAGAAATGCACTTCCAGTGCCTGCTGATCTAATGGTTGGGTTGGTCTCAACTGTCAATCCTCAAGAGATGGCTAAAAGCAGAGGAGGCTATGGAGGGGTGAGCAAACCTTCTTTCATGTAGATCTGCTTTGCCGTCAGCAGTGGAGAGGCGTTCCGACTCCGGGCTGTTCACACGGCGGTATCTGAGGGAGCGCACTTGTGCGGTGGGGGACTCCGGAGGCACTCGGACAGGGGAACTGGGGCAGACGCCATTTCTCTGCTCCTCTTCCACCATGCACTGAGTCTGTAAGGGGTAAACACAGAGAACCTCAAAATCTGACCAGCCGTTGATTATCTATCCTTCACCGTTACTCTGTGCATTCTTCCAGGAGACAGTTTCAGCTGCATTTTCACAATCTACACAAGCAATGTTTGAAGGAATGCGAGGATCCATATGCCCTGGCAGTTGTCTAGTATATATATCTAAGATCCAAACAAGGTATGGATCTTAAATAAACTCAAATATTTAAACATCTTTACAAGGTGGCCTTTGCATTTCCCATAATAGTTGATCCAAAGGAGTTATCATGGGCTAACCTACTGCATACACAAACCCTAACTGCTTATCCAAGATATCTAAGAGCTCTTGTTTGTCAATATTCATCTGTGCAGGGTCCACACATTATATTGCAATGTACGTACGTTTACTTCTGATGAACTTGATATTGCTAAGCCATCTCCTAATTCCCAGGGTGGTTTGGGTTTTTTGGGGGGTTTGTTTTTTTTTAAATCTCGGTCCTCTAAACAAAGTCTTTCAGGACATATACTCAACCACAACTTCTGTAAGAGCTTTCCACAGACCCAGGGTCATGCAGGGACCTGAACATGCTCGTGGACACTTGTGAGCATTGAGTGTTCATACTCTACTAGTACGTATTTTCTGTTTTCATATGGCCTTAAGTTAATTTGATTTTTTTTTTTTTTAATTTAGCAGCTGACAAAGGAGCAAAAGTAGGTGAAGCCAGTCAGTGTCCATACATCAGCAGATGTAAACCGTCCAGGTGGGGTTTGGAATGCATATCTAAGGACCCTTTGCAGCTAGGCGGAGCGGAGGAGAACTTTCAGGCATTACAGGAAAAGCAGACTAGATGATAATGATTTAATCTGTAACCCATTCAGGCCAGGAGAAGGGTAGTGACAGAAGAAGGTCCAATGTGTTTGTGGAAGGAGCAAAGTGCTTCTGTAACTGTAGGGTAACAGATAAGATCCAAGAGCAGACAGCTGGGGACGGTGTGGGAGAGAAGGAAGAGGTTTCTGACAAAACACAGCAGGAGAACTTTGATCCAGTGGAGTAGGGAGAACCAGACGGAGGATTTAGAAAGGTCAGTGGCAGTAAGCACGGCAACTGTCCTCAGCAGAGAAATGGGAGAAGTGGGACAGAAGGAGATGTGAACTGTGTGAACAGAGAAATGAGGATGACCTTAGAGAGGTACTGGAGAGAAAAAACACGGCGAGATCTACTCGTCACCTAAATACAAAGAGCAAGACAGGGAGAGGTAGAGTTACTTCTAGTGCTACAAGACCTGAAGATGAAGGATGGTGAAGCTGTGAATACCAGAAGGGTGTTTTATACACCAGCTGCCCTCACCGTTCTGAGAGACACAAGGGATGCCTGAGATTACAAGCAGAGGTGAAGCTGTGTGCTTTACGTATCGAACCTGCAGTCCCCTTTTTTTCTCCATGTTGTGACTGAGACTTAAATAAAAAGTGGTTCTCTCTCGGAGAACGTTCAGACTAAAGATAATAAGCCTAGCAGGCAAGAGTCAGACTAAAGATAACAGCCCTTGGAGAGAAAGCATAGACTTGGTTAGCTTTGGAGAGCGTGATGACCCGGGCTCTATTTCACAGACTGCAGAGTAGCTACAGAGCTTGTCTGAACTGAAGCGCTCACTGCCACACTGACTAACTCCCTGAGCTCCTTTGCCTGGAAGAAATAGCACATCCCTTGGCAGGAGAGTCACCTGGCCACGCTGTGAATCTTGCAGAAACCTCTCCTGCCTCTAGCTGCTGTTAGGACAGGGCTTATGAAAGCCAGCGCTGGGTACCTAAGACATGACATACAACTAGTACGCAGAAAGGACTCCCTTGTGCACATCTCTGCCTGACTGAACAGCATCAAGGCACCTGGTGGTTCAAAGGAACAGAAAAACACATATGAGTTACCAGGATTTTTCTGTAATACTCTTTTTTTTAATTTTTTTTTTTTTGTATGTTGTGGCAACAGAACTGTCCCACTCTACCAGGCTTTTCTAATTTCCTCGGTATTGGGCAATGCTGCTGGTGATGCTCCATGCTGCTGGTGATGCTCCATACAGATAACACGTTGATCCAAATTATTCGCATTGGAGAATTTGAAGCAAGGTAGATGAGATTATTTCTTGTCCGTGAATAATATTTCCTAGCAAGGCTAAGGATAGGGGAGATATCTACAGGGCTGAGAGAAGGACCAACTTGGTGCCAGTAGAGACTGAAGTGAATTCTGGTCAGACCCAGAAGACGAGTAGATTTAACGCGCTAGTCCACAAACGTCCATTGAAGACAGGCATGTGAAGTGAATCCAGTATGCCCTGATAATATTTTAAGTCTGTCTAATGCAGGCTTCTCTCCTAACAGATTCTGTATGTATCTGATGTCATGCCGTGTGACATTCTGATTTTAAAATAAGAATTGAGATCAACACAACAAATACTAATTTACTTACAATATGTAAAGTTGATCTCATAAACTAACAGGTAGATTCTCATACTTAACATTCACTATGGAATCATCATTCCATGGGGATGCCTCCAAGAAATTAGGTAACATTTACAAGAAAGGACTGAGAAACACCTTAGGGATTATGAGAAAAAAACCAACTGAAGTCGGTTTATACACTTTATTCAATCTAAAAAGTCTAATATGATCTTGGAATGCAGAAATATGAGAATATTAACTGACACTTTCTCTAGCTCTTCACAGGGGTGAAACCATCATTAGATGCTCTTTACAGACTTTCATACCTTTAGAAAAGACAGTGAAAATTGGAAGAGAAAAATTAGTGATGATTCAAGGTGTAGAAAAATGTGGCTTATGAAAACATCTCTGATGAAATGTATTTACCCAAGAGGTTAGGACACAATAAAATTTTGGTTTATAATTTCCAAACCTGGGACATTTCTGATATTGTATCAGCTATGCAAGTACTAGAATTCCATTGCTTGAAGTATCAAGAAGTATAGATAACGATTGTACTAAAGATTCACTCTGGCATTATTGGCCCCTAAAATGTAATTTGCATAAAGATCCAAATTAATCCCAATGGCTTTTACTCTGTGAAAAAATCGTTTGTAATCTCCCCTTTCCACAGGGAAATTCCACAGTGCTCTTTGGGCTGCACGAGGTAGGATGCTACATCAGTGGATCCAGGCATCCATTGCCCTAAGTCCAACAGCCACAGGAGACAAAGAAATGTTCTTTACTTTGCTGATGCTGATCCTGAGTTTGTTGCGATTCACATCTGTCTCTTCCCAGACCTCAGCCTCATTGAAAGCAGTGTTTGGAGCCTGCCCAAGACCTTCCACAGGCCGGCCTGATAGGATGGGAGGAGCATTCTCTTGATCACTCAGATGTTCACCCTGTAGGACATCCTCAGTGTTCTCACGAAGCAAGTCCCCAGGTACCGGAGTGACATTAACCACCCTATGGAAAAGACAAGAAGAAGAAAGGTAAAATTATTAGGAGGCCTATCACCCTGTCCCACAGAAGCTCCTTAGCAGCTTTTAGGGTTTACCAGGTTTAAAAAACAGGCAGTCCAGCATTATCCCAGGTATGACAACCTGAAACAGAACAGGAGGATTCCCCAGAACATGTAGTCACAAAGACAGTGGGATGGATCAGTGAAAGCATCTTGGGACCCTTGATATGCAGGGTGCAGCCTTTTTCAGAAGTGCTCATTACACAAGATTTAGCTTAGAAGGAACTTTGCATGAGCAAATGAGGCTTAACAGGCCATATAGTTTTTATCTTCTATAATATTACGAAGGATTATTGTTATCCCTTAACGTCAGCCCCCTCAAAAGCACCAAGACAGACCAGTGAATTAAGCCTTTTCAACTTTTGTTCGGACTCTTTCCATCTCTGAGAACCCAGCTCTATGACCTTTGCACCAGCACACAGACTCATAGAATCATGGAATCACAGAATGGTT